CCGGTTCGTAACCGCCGGTCCATAACCGGTTACCACCGGTCCCGGTCGGTTACGGTCTTGAGCCGGGCTCGGTTCCGGGCCTCCGTCAGTTACGGGCCGGGCCGGTTACGTTTGGCCATCTCTAGTTTGGACCAATTGGCCACTCGGCGTCTGACTAGCCTGAAAATTGTTGCAGGCATATTTTTAGCCTTAATTTTTTATCCTAATGGACTGTTTACTAAACATTCACTTGGTAGATGTTTATTAAATAAATTTTTTTTATCAAATAAACATGACAAGAGCCAATAATCTTACCGAGTAAGAGCGATGAAAATGATGGAGAGTCTTATTCGGTAAGTGAAGATTACGACTCTTACCCAGGTAAGCGCTTACCCGGTACATTGTTGCATTCAATACGTTTTGATGTACTAAAATGTTACTCATTAAAATAAATTATAGTGTTGACTCCTATAGGTAAGCATTTAGGTAAACCGTAAATCAGCCTCTAAGACTTTTGAAATAGATGTTTTGACCAAATGGGACAATGGTTGTTTGAAGGCGTTTAAACAGTTCAATCATGTGAATTTGATTAATCAGATCAAAACTTTGTTTCATCATTTTGCGTAAACACGGATCAACACTATTGTTTCTCCTTTCTTAGCTATCCCTACAAAAAACATGGATTACGGGATTTATTCAAGGGTGTATTAGATCTGAATGGCTTAGAATGAATGTGTGTCTGTCTAATATGTGATTTCACCAAGTTGGTTTGGGTTAGGTTTCACCGAGTCTTGCCAAATTTTGTATAGTTATGTTCCAGGTTGGTTGGGATTAGTTTTTTTGGGTTCAGGGTACCTCTTCTCCTTTTTTTTCCCCAAAAGGGGGGAGAGATCCTAGCATTACAATTCCATTTTTGTCTAGATTTCAGAGTAAATGAGAGGGCTGCCTTCGGGAACGCAGACACAGGTGGTGCATGGCTGTCGTCAGCTCGTGCTGTAAGGTGTTCGATTAAATCCCGCAACGAGCACAACCCTCGTGTCTAGCTGTCATCATTAAGTTTGAAACCCTAAACAGACTGTCAGTGATACACCCTTGTTTTTTAAAATATCATATTTTAAATTTTGTAAGGTGTCTATATGTGTCGGTTTTATAGTGATTATCATGTCATTTGGTTTTTAGTGCATAATATATTGTCTTGAAATGTTCGAATGCTCTCTTTCTATAAATCTGTTTCAGTAGTCTTTGTCCTTACAAATACATTACTGCAATGCACAAGTTATCAACGGATTTTGCAATTGCAACTCCACTGTTTTCATGAGTAATCTAAAGTTATAGACCAAAAACTCTCATTACAATTTATATAATTACAACCAGATGATAAAATGTTTAAAAGTAATTATGGGATGAGTGTTCTTTTTATTTTATGTTAACAGTTTTTTCATAACAACTTGTTTTATTGTTTATCAAAATCTGATTACTTTGTAATGTAAATAATCTTAAATTTATGAACAATATATATACAAAAGTTCGAAATTGATTATCACGTATGATGCTAAAAGGAGATGGTTGGGTCGTTAAAAGCGTAATTTCGTGATATTAATAGCTGTAACAGTACAATCAGATGCAATAAGATGTTATACAGTTTTATCCTACTGCTTTAAGCCATACTAACAAGATAATACATTGCTTGAGTGGTTGACAAATTATAACCAGTATAAAACTATTAGAAGACATTTTTATGCATTTACTGTACGGTCTGATTGAAAAAAAAATATAAAAAATCTTTACATCGGGGTTACATTGGGATTGAAAAACAAATCTAAAAATTATAACCAATGTTATCTGATTTTATGTTTCATCCTAAACTGATCATCATTAGATTAAAAAAAAAAAGAAACAACCTTCCCATTTGAGCTAATAAAATAAAGGAAAATTTACTTTTTAGTCACTTTGTAAAGAGAAAAGTCTAAAAAATTCAATGGATTTTAGTGTTTGGAATAATTAAGTGCTTGAATAATTTTTTGAAACAAATAAAATATTGGACATTGCAAAACCTGTTAAATAACTCATTCGACTTTCTATAATCGGTTAGATACATTCTTATAACTTATAAAACTAAGGGGCTGTTTGTTTGGCTCTTAATGGTTACATTAAGAGCCAACCTCTTAATCGGTCAGAGGTTGAAGTTGTTTGGCAAAAAAAAATACCTCTTAATGGTTACAATCCCCCTCTTAACCATTTTGCATCTAGGGTACCGCTCAACGATTCAGATTACCGATTCTTCCCTATTTACCCTTCCATACCCTTTACCGCTGCAGTCTCGTCTCCTTCACCATTGTCATCGCAGAAGCCGGAGCATCTTCTCCATCTTCTCAYTGTCGATCTCCCCTCACCTTTCTTCATCACACCAGTTGCAGTAAGTTCTCCCTCTGCTGTTCCTCTTTAATCGCTTCCTCTTTAATCGCTCCCTCTGCTGTTCCTCTTTAATCGCTGCTGTTTTAATCGCTCCCTCTGCAGTGAGCGACTTTCCACCTCGATTAGAACCGGTTTCCTTTACATTATTGTGGTGCACAACTTTTAGCAATTCATGGTATGCAGTATGTACACTATTGTTGCCTTTTATGCAAAAAGAATMATCGTATRCTATGCTCTCACTGTTTGATAAAATGCCTAGCAGAACTCGGATTTGTTTAGAATAGTGTTGAATGACCTTATTTTTTCTKCAAATTTGTTGGGATCAAAGGGTCACTCAATCTTGGTTGTTTAAGTTTTTTATTGTTAGGTTTTGCAGGTTCAAAGTCAATTGTTTGTTGTTAGGGCTGTGTTATCAAGTTGTTTGCAAGTTTAAAGTGTTTTGGAACCTCAATTGTTAGGTTTTGCAGGTTCAAAGTCAATTGGTTATTGTCAATTGAAACTCATTTTTCCCTAARAAAGGTTCTCATTTACATATTACTTAAAAAAGGTTCAAAGAAAAAGGTTCTCATCTACTGCTTGTCATCGAATTCTGCTACAAATGCTTCCACTCTGATTACATCTCTACATACAATATATAAGAAAAAGAAAACCTATGTTCCCCCTTGATAGATCTTCTGTTTAGATGCAACTATTTATAGATGGGGTTTTTTGAAGATTGCTATTATCACTTTTTCTTATAGATTGCTATCATCACTTTTTCTTATAGATTGCTATAGATCTTTTGTTTAGATGCAACTATTTAGATGGGGTTTTTTGAAGATTGACATGATCACTTTTTCTTATTACTTTGTACTTTATAAAATTGTTTGGACTAGGTATGGAATTAGTTGGTGAATCTTCGCACCAAAAGAAACGTAGGATTACCTGGAAAAAGGATGGATTGGTCCAAACATTTCTCGAAGCTTGTATACAC